AACTATTTTTATTGTTTAATTACTTTTACATAAAAACTATTTTTATTTAAAATGAATTTTGAAATACTTAATCATTTTATACTAAATAATAATTTTTCACCATTTTGAAAAAATTTAAATAATTTGTATTAAAGAAATCTTGAAATTCAAAACCACGAAAAATACCGAGAACCGCACACAATTAGAAATGCCAAATAAAACTATGTCAACCGTTTGGACAACATGAACAACAAAAACATCACGTAAATTCTTATGTGTCAGCAGTAATTAAATTTAGCAAACACCGCAACTAGTTGTTAGGAAAATGCCCTCAAAATTTACGGAATAGACTGGAAAATGCCAGAAAAAAAGTCATCTAACGCCAACCACCAAATTTTCAAAAATTCAAAAAGTAAGTCAAGCGTTGTTCTAGTCATATATTAGCACACATGTGGTATATACATACATATATAAGCACAGTTTATGTACAAATATAAGCAAGCAATTTATTTGTGCATTACATGCATTGCCATCAACCAAAACAAGACGCATAGCACACAAGCATAAACACATGCCTATATACATATATATATACAGAGTTAAGTAAAAAATAATGACAAGACACCAACAAATCAGTCAAGCAGCAAGTCAGGCGACAGCGACAACTGTTGCAAGAACACTTGTTTGTGGCCGAAAGCAGTCATTAAATACATGAAATTACTTCTACAAACATATGTATGTATTCAAGTGTATATATATTACTAAAAAGTTGTATATTTGTATTTGTGAAACAAATGTGCGTAACTTTGGTTGCCCATCAACAATTGTCAATGCTTTAAAATGGCTATTGGCGGTGTGCTTAAATCTATAACTGTTAGAATTAACAACACAAAGTTAAGAATTTGTGTATGTGTGTGTGTACTTAACGATATTTTAAGGGTAATATGTGTCTTCCGATGGCTAATGCTTGTAAACAAACACAAGAATAGAGAATATAAAATATTTTTAAGCAAAACAAAATGTGATAAAATAGAGAAGAAGTGATGAATATATGTATATATGGAATTGTATATAAACACAAAAAAACATATATTTTGCTATTACATGCCTCCAAAAAACATATAAAATTATTAGTATAATAAAAAAAAAACCTCAGCACTAACAATGAGAAAACTCAGAAGCAGTTTCCATTTAATTCTTGTTTACAAAAAAAGCTCCATTCAAGTTTATAAGACTTGCAAGTCTATGCAACGCAAGGGGTTAACTTATTGCCGCGCATAGAGCCATAGATCACATCTGAATGTGTGTCTGAAGTGTGGCTTACACGAATTACAAGCTGGCAAGGGTGCAAGCCTTATGACCACTGGCTATTCGCGTGACTAACACATACTCATGTAGCTATGTGCAAACATGTGTAGAGCATTAAATGTCTTGGCTGAAAAAAATTGCATTCCGCGCATATTTATGTAAATTGCAGCGCAAGTGCTTACCCGCTGGCTACTCAATTAATAAGCGTTTATGCGCATTGACGCATGCGCACCGGCTCAATCTGTTTGAATTACAATAATTACATTGTTTGTGCTACATTAATATGGTAGATATTTGTATGCAAGGTTTTTGTTGGTGTTGGTAAAATTTTTGCGAACGTTTTGATTGAAACGTAACTTATGTTTTATTTTATTTAATTACAATTTCATGTTAATATTATTAAAAATAATAATTATTATTATAAATAGTTTGTTTATGGATTATAACGCCTTTTGGAATTTTAATATAATAATATTAAAAAATATTTTTTATAGTTTCTTATGCCTTTTAGAATTCGTGGCAATAAATACTTTTGAAATAAGTAGTATATACGAATTAAGAAAATAAAAGTACATATTAGCTATTTTTTTTTACTATTTTGTAATTCCGTTATATGAAGCCTTTTAAAATTTGCCTATTATTTTAAATATTAATATTTAGAAAAAAATGTATCCTTCATTGACTTCCTCTTCAAAACTTCGGAAAATATTGTTTTTAAAGAAAATTTACACCTAATTTACAAAAAACAATCATTTTTAACATGAAAAATATTAATTTTTAACAAAAAAATTTAATTAATATAAAATATATTAATTTTTTCAAAAAGTTTCATGTCTAAGAATAAAAAAAAGGAAATAAATTCATTTTGAAAAATCGATTTCGATAAATTTAAAAAAAGTATTTAGTAAAAAAAATTAAATAAACTAATGATCAAATACGAAACTTTATCAATAATTTTCAGAATTATGAAGCCTTTTCGACATAAATCAAACCGACACCGTGCAACAACATCATTTTTTTGTTTTTAAAAGTAAAAAGACATCTTATGAGCAGAAAATATCTAGTCTAAAATTATGTTGTATGTTCACTAAAACTAAAATTTCCTAGTAATAACTAATATTATTCATGAATATATGTAATTTCTTGTTTTGTTCTCGGCAACAATGATTCAAGTTTGTCGCTTAAGTCTTCAGTTTAAAGAATGAATTGTTAAGTAGCACACATAGTGTGAAATTTTGAAAAATTCGGTATTTCAAATTTCAAGAGTTTACAAAATAATATACTAAAATTTCAAATTTCGATTTCTCAAACAGTTTTTGAATTACAGCCATTTCAAGGGTAGCCCCCCAGTCGAATCAGCTTCTTCAGTTAGCAAGGTGGCGTTTTTCGCAAAACCGCATTTTTCGAGTTTGCTGCAGTCAAATCCAATCACAAAGTGTTTGTTTGTGTTTTATCATCGGTTTTTATGATCTGATCAAAAGTTGAATTTTTAAAAAATTCCCAAAAATCGATGTTTTCAGTCAGTGCGCGCATTAAGCTTAGAATAAGTATTATTTCATAAATAATATTATTTTTGTTATCCATGGAATGGACCTCAAAGACAACTAAGTTTAAAATAATGCTCTTAGAACCACAAAAATATTTTCTAAAAAATCGAAAAAAGTATGCCCTTAAATGTCGCAGTTTAATTTCAATTCTTAGGAAAGTTTTATTAAAATTTTTTTTTTATTATATATTTATATCAATATGGCATCAGAAGTGTTCAGTTTGCATAAAAATTTTCGTATGATACCGTAAAAGCCTTAGAAAGTAGGCACCAATATTAAGAGGAATCCTTTTTATATTCTGTTAAGCATATTATTTTGAGTTGATGATGTCTGAAAAGTTTAGCTCGTTGTGATATATTTTATATAAAAAAACTTTTTAATTAAAATAAATGCATTTTTGCAAATTTCACAACGAATAAAAACCATTATCGGATATTGAAATAAAAAAAAGCTTAGAATATTAAAAAAAAATATTTT